AAATTAATATTCACGACTACTACAGAGCATATTCAATAATATGGTATGTAGTATTTCCGGAAACAGTAACATCACACCTGTTAAAATGCATGAAAAACTGATCCAGCTGATGGTTTGGTTTCACAAAATGTCGCACCGATGCATTACAGGATTCGCTGGCCTGAGTTGTCAACATACCAACAGTGAATTGACTTCTAAGCTAACATGAAGACCACTGTTTCCGGAAGCCTAGCAGATACTGCAACCACGGGTCGTCACCCACAAAGTCACTGTCGGGGAAGCATTCACCAAGCATGTCCTTCCATGCAATGTCGAATTCAGCCTCACTATCAACCGTGTAGAATAAGTAAGTGAGGTGAATGCTTAGCTTTTTCCAAACATCCTTGTCCTTCTTAAAATGCTTCTTCGCATTCATTAAAATGTGCCACGTACATAATGCATGGAAGACACCGGGCCACTCATTACGAAGTGCTTTGGCCATAGCCGCATCCTGATCGGTGAAGATGGTGGTTGGGAGCTTCTTATCCATGCAATGACGAAGCGCATCAAACAACCACTCGAAAGATGCACTAGTCTCGTCATACAACAAACACGCACCAAATATGCAAGTCTGCCGGTGGTGGTTGAAACCAACAAACATTCCTACATAACACATTTTTACAAGTTCATTATTGTCACCGTCCATGGTAATATTCATACATTCCATACTAGTATTCAAAAAATTCAGACGGTTATTCAAGCTATCATGACTATCACACAATATATTTGAATAGAAAATTATATGCGAACAATAGAAGAAAACACGTACCCAATGGGCGATAGGCTTTGTTCGTACGGTAAGTTGTGTCGAAAGAGATCGAGTCACCAAACAATTTATAATCAGCCCACATCTAGGCATCCGACCAGAATATGTTAGCAACTTGCTCATCACAATCAACTTCCACGGAATAATAAAATCCAGGTTTGATTTCCATTTGCTTCTGAAAGTACTCCAACAAAAAAGTTGATTCACCATGTGCCATGTTCTTCTGTCTTCGCTTGTTCAGATGGTTCTTTTGGTCATTCTTCCAGAAGTTAAGATTTTCGTAACCACCAGCACACATAGCAAGTAGCTTGTAAGAAGAGCTCAAACTAACACCAGCATCCACATTGGCTTCAACCATCAGACCTTCAGCCTCACTAACACTTTTGTTAGACCTCAAAAACTGCGCATGCTCCTTTGAGTGCAGTTCATGATTGTGTATATTGTTGAAATGACTAACCACGAATGCATTCCTATCGACATCCCACCGAAAGGCAACACGAGCTGTACACCCAACCCTTAACTCGTTTCTTTTTCTTTTACGCTGGGTTTTAACAATGACCTTTGGATTTCTAGTACTCAACTTCGAAAAGCCTTGTTTGTTGCAACAATAGTAAAGGTACCAATACTTTTCCTCAAGCTCTCTCTTGTTGTTCTTGCGCAACCTCGTGTGTTCGTTGTATACTCGAACATTAAAACCTCGGTCATGACCATATCTTGAATAGAAGCTCTTGCAATCATCTACTGTATTGAATTGCAAATTCTTCCATAAGCACTCATCTTCTAGTGTTGCATAGCCTGTCATTGGAATTGCACAAATGAATACAATTAGTCAAATCCAACCAATAAAAGCATTCAATACAAGGTCGCCTAGTATTCATTACAATCTCAACAAATATTCATTACAATGTTAACGAATATTCGTTACAATGTCAACGAATATTCGTTACAATGTCAACGAATATTCGTTACAAGGTCACCTAGTATTCATTATAATCTCAACGAATATTCGTTAGAATGTCAACGAATATTCCTTAGAATGTCAACAAATATTCCTTAGAATGTCAACCAATATTCAGTAGAATGTCAACGAATATTCTTCTAAAGATGAAGGCGTATTAATTAGAATGTAAACGAATATTCTTTTAAAGATGAATGCATATTCATTAAAAGGTCAATGAATATTCTTTTGAAGATGAATTTGTATTCATTAGAAGGTGAACGAATATTCTTATAAAGATGAAGCGTATTCGTCTTCAATATTCTTTTGAAGATGCATATTGAAGATGAATATGTACCAACTAATATTCGATGACGTAAAAGTAATATTCATGAAATTTAAAAAGTAATATGGTCATTAGGGCTAACTAGTATTCATGCAAGCGATATTCATGTTTATGTTCCTCCACCAGGGATATTCAGGATAGAACGACCAAGTATTCATGCAAGCATAGAACACCATGCAAGAAACCCTAAAACATAATAAATGCAAGCACCATAAATGTAAACCCTAACACATTCAATGCTGATCAACAACCAAAACATATATAAGTCTAAATAGATCTGATCTGTTTTTTTGGTCTTCACATACCCCCTTCTATTTCATCAACTGCGGCCATCCACTCTTGCGAGCCCCACAAACCATCACATGAACCATCCGCTTTGAGGATGGTATCAGCAAGGTCCTCATCTTCTGGTCTGTCTCCTTCGACATAACCTTTATTGTTTTCAGTCGACAGATCTTCAAGGTGAACCTCCTCTTTTGGTGCGACATCTCCTTCGACATCATCCCCCATCTCCGACACACTATCTTCCCTTCCTTGCATCTCCTTCTTCTCTTCGAAAGATCGATCTTGCATCAGACTGCCCCTTCTTGCGTTTTTCTCTAGATGCTCGTCTTCAATGGAGGCAAGGCGGACGAAGAGAAGAGATGAGGAAGAAGAAGAAGAGAGTTGTGAGATTGAGAGAGAGAGGTTGCTAGGTGGGTGGAATTAATGAAAGGGTTTTTTGGGGCTGGATTTTTCGCCAAAAATCCCGCCAAAACACCCAAAAATTGGCCCAGACCCCACCCATCTCTCACTCCTCGGCCCCACCACTACCTTCAGCTCGGCTTCCCCACAGCTCAAGAATGGCTCGTCCCCTTCCCCGAGCTCGTGTCCCAGCCGCTCAATCCTGGCCCTCCGTTGCTGGCTTGGGCGACGTGGCCCTCCCCCTGACTTGTGAGTTGGTGCACACAGATTTCTGTGTGTGTACCATAGCGAAATTGCTCTCTCTCTCTCTTTCTCTCTCTCTCTCTCTCTCTCTCTCTCTCTCTCTCTCTCTCTCTCTCTCTCTCTCTCTCTCTCTCTCTCTCTCTCTCTCTCTTCACTAGAGAGATCGGATGAGCAAGGGATTGTCTGACGATAAAGCCCTCCCCTCCCACTTATTGTTGACTAACCATTTGACATCATTTGTGAACAAAACTTGGAACATGTCTTCTCCCTCATAGTCACAGGGATGACTAACCCCAAAATTTCTGTTGGTGGGGGGAATCCATAATGGGCATTGCTCAATTCAACTGCCAAAATTAAATGGCTCTGGCTTTGGTGGGTGGATGGATCATCACACATGCCCAAAATTTTCAGTTCAGTTATAACTGATTTGATATCAGGATTCAAGAACCCCTTGCTGGCTAATCCCAAGAACAGCAATTTTCTTCATAACTTCGTCATCTGGGCCCCACCCTCTTCTCTTCTGGTAGTATTCAATTCCCATGAAAAAATAAAATTATAGTGTAATACTAACAACAGTCTAACACCCATCACAATTCACAAACAAACCAAACTAATTAAAAAAAATAAATGGATAAAAGAAAGGAAAGGAAAGCCCTCCTTTTTTCCTTCCTTCCCATTAACTTCAATTGTTTGTTTTATATCCCCACAAAAAAGCCAAACAGCCAATGGAGCCCATCAACCAACTCAGCGTTCTCACATCAAGACAAGACCTTCATCTCTCAACGCACAAACCACCAAAACACAACACATCTTCTTCCTTTCTTCTCCTTTCCAAATTCCACCACATGCAGCCATCTGCAACTAATGAGGGTGAAACTCATATTCAATGATCATCACCTTAGCCGCCGCGAATCATGATATCAGACGATGAACATGAAAAAAGAAGATCATCATTAGTTAAAGCTAATGACAGTGCAATGGAAGAAACCCAGTTAATTGAAAGCATTACACCAAATGAACATCATCATTAAAAAAATTTCCCAAACCCACAATTTATCTAACTCTCCACCACTTCCCTTTACTCATACCAGAAGAAAAAGTTTTTTCCATTCCTAGAAACATTTAATGGCTCAAACTAAGTACTAGCTAGCTAGCTAGTTCCCCCACTTCCTTCTTCTTGCTTTTATGTCTCTCTACCACATTGCACCTCCTAGCTCTCTCTCTCTACCTCTACACCCTCTCTCTCTCTCCTCCCATCTTCTTCTACAACATACAAGTTACAACCTCGTACCCCTAGAAGCCACTTTACTTCAATTCAATTCTCTCCCTCCCCCCAATCATAAGCTTTTAACACCCACCCCAAATTCGAAACACATTATTTCATTGATACATACATCACAACATTCCCTCCTGCTGCTGCAACTCCACCTTAGGTTGCTGCCCCATTTCTCTCGGATAATGGTGGTGCATGTTCATCATGTTATTTGCCATCGTTGGCCCCATTTCACTTTGCTTCTTGACGTTCTTATTGTTGTGCATCCACACCTTGAACATCTGCCTCCTCACCCCAACCTCCGAGCAGAACCTCTCCACGGCCTCCTCGTCCTACTTGTTGATCCTCCACCCGACTTTCTCCGTGAAATCTGTCATCATCTCCTTCTACTCGGCGCTGAACTTGGTCCGGAACCTCTTCTTCGACATCCCGTAGGGCGGCTGCGGCGTCGTCACCACCATCCCCGTGTTGTTGTTGTTGTGCATCATCCCAACATCAGATGGGAACGCATTCAGATCCTCGCTGGAGGACTCGGTGCCCCCCGTGGCGGCACTCCCTCCTCCCACTCCGCCGCCGCCAAAGGCCACGTTCATGGGATGCACCGCCGCCGGAGGGCTGAGGTAGCGGTGGTGGGACCCACTGATGTTGTGGTGGGGGTTGTGGTGGTGCATAACTGGAGAAGGCAATGCTGGAGGAAGTTCGAGGGTGTGTATTAAGTGACCGCCGTCGTCGCGGCAAGAGCCGGGGCTGAACACGGTGGCGGTGGGGCTGCGGCGGCCGTCTCGCCGTCGACCTCATTGTGGTGGAAGTTGCGGTGGCACTCGCAGGTGGCGCATTTCAAGGCTTCTAAAGATCCTTCCTCGCCTCCATGCATGAACTCGCCGAAACCGTCGTAGACATTTACCCCCATGCTGGCCGGGTGGTTGCGGAGGCACTCCCGGTACCTGACCGTCGCGGTGGCGGTGGATTTTGCGGTGGTGGATTTGTTGTTAAATCCGCCGCTGCGGTGGTGGTGATCTAGGGTTGGGGTTTGGGAGTAGCCACCGAGGAATGTCGAGTTGCCATTGTCATTTCCATCTCCTCTTTTTCCTCCTCCACCTCCGCTTGACATTCTTACATCGTTGTTCTCCACTTGCCCTCTCACTTTCATTGCTTTCTCCCCTCAATTTTCTGGAAGAAACAACAACAACAAAAAAAACCCAAACAACTAAGAAAGAAACTCCTCTACCAAGCAGCAAGGCTAGTCTAGTAGTGTAGGGGTAGCAATAAAATCCCTTGAGATTTTGTGCCTGCCCAGAAAGCCATATAATGAGCTGAGAGAGAGAAGGTTGATGGGATTTCAGCTAGTCTGAGTCTCTGAGAAGGGAAGCAGAGAAAAGAAAACCTAGAAAACCATGGCTGGAGAAAAGAGAGAGAGAGAGAGAGAGAGAGAGAGAATCAATGAATGAAAACCACAGAAGGGAAGAAGAAATCAGTGATGAAGCAAAAAAAAAAGCAAAAGGAACACACCAGCTGGAGGGAGCGACTGACTGGGTTCAAACTTAGACTGGCCTTCCTATCCTAATCGTCATTATGACTACACCACCTCCACCAGCAGCAGCAGCAGATCGATCTTTAGCAAGGAAGGAAGAACAAAGAGGGAGGAAAAGGAGCTTTTCTTTCTGGGTATCTTTTTGTTTTGGGTTGGGGAGAAATGAAAGGAGTACTGGAGTTCGGGGTTTGCTGGAGGAGGAGCTTCTTTGCCTTAGGGGTTCCAACATGCCAACTACAGAGGCAACAAGGGACAACTTGGTTGCTTCTGGTGAAGCTACACCCAATTCTTGTATATGAGCTATGGGGAAAAAACTTTTGTGAAAAGAAAAGCATGTGAGGTTGAAAAGATGAGAGCCCAAATAACAAAAGGAAACTATCACTGAAAAGAGGTAGAGAGAGAAACTGAGGGAATTGGAGAAGAGGGAAGGGAGTGAGACAGGAAAGGGGAAAGATGAGGGGAAGACTCACTGGAGTGAAGACTAGAGAGGATGACTCTTTTTATTTGTTATTAAATTACATTAAAATTAATTAATTTTTTTCTATGTAAATTAGAAATTAAAAATGAACAGAACAACCGGCAACGTCATGTTCATCCCTCTCCCACGCCCTGCCATTTGTAGGAGGCCCCACCTTTACCCTCTTACATTATTGCTCCTTCTTTCTTTATTCCCCTTCATTTCATTTCATTTCACTCTGAATTGGCAAATAATCATCTCTCTTTATCTCATCATTGTTCTCACTTCTCATGTTTAGCCCTAAAACGCAACCTCTAAAGTGCTATTCATCTTACCCTATTTAATTATTGATGACCATCTCAACAGTGTGGAAGAAAAGAAAATTAAGAAGCCGATAGTTTAACCATTAAAATCAATCATAAGTTCTCTTACAGAAAAAATATTTGTTAGAAGTTTTCGACAGTATTCTGTGGACTGTGATCGCTCAGGCGTGTATACTCGTCGTATTCATTATATGGATCGTAGTTGTTGTGATGCTTTAACATGAAAGGGGGGAGAAGTGTGTTAGTGATTACGTTGACAATGTGTGAATGATGCACAGATGGTATGTGTTTTTATATGCATGTTTTGAACTAACACACAACACCTGGACAACATGCATATATAACTTGTTTCAACTATCTCAGACTTAAAGTTTGTTGAACTCATTTGGTAATTTGCTATTTCCGATAAAATGAGATTACGTGAAAGAAAACACATACGTATAAATATATTGAGCTTAAATATTTTTTCAAAAAAAATAATAATAATATGGCGTATATTGATTGATACTTACATAACCATGTAGATAAATATCTATATGGTATTGGAGACCATAAATGACAGTGATTATTACATACAAAGTGATTACATATAGTAATAATTAAAATTCTCAATTTTTTTGTCATTTATAGAAAAATTACTACCGAGCATCGAGAAATCGGCCTAGCAATAATATGATGTGATAAATATCACATCTTGGACTCAAATTTTGAAATCAATACCCATTAAAAAATTACTAAGGTTTGAAAATCAAAAACAAAAAAAAAACAATGTATCACTTCACTTAAAAATCAACAAAAGAGGAGCTTAAATCGTGCTTTTCAGCTCATTATCATCATTCTTAACAACACCAATCATTCTCGTACCCACTACTCAATCTATTTAGATCCTCTCCCCCCAACTATATATGGACAAAAATCTAAACCACAACTTTTCAGCTTAACGACTCTCTCTCCCCTTTTTTTCCTCTGACCTCTCTCTAAAGGTTCGCAGCCGAGTGGGCTGCTGTCGGCGCCTCTCCGGCGACCGGCAGCAGCTCTCCGCCTCCAGTTCCATTTTTCCAGCTTGTTTCCTGCTTTTTCTTTCTTCTTCTGCTATTTCCACCCATTGTGGCTTTGCTTTCATGCATGTGTCTTTCCCCCTTTGTGGATTGAGTTCCTTCCCCTATCTTGGGTTGATTTTTGTCCCTCTGTTCTGATGATTCAGATCTGGAGATGTTGATCTTTCTAAGATGCAAGGAGGCTAGATCTTGTTCAGATCTGGCTTGTCTTCTCCTTTCCATTCCATAGTCTACCTCCTTGCTCTCACCTTGCAGATCTTGGTGGTTCGGAGTTGCATCCTTGGGCGACGGATGCGGATCTGGAGAATTTGAAGATAGAAGATCGTCTCCCCTTTGTTTCCTTAGTCGGCCGACCGATCGTGTGTCTGAGGTCCCATGGTTTCGAGCAGCGGGTGGCAGACGGCCGATTGGCTCGGGGTGGTGTTGTTTGAAGACTTGTCTTCATCTTCCTGCCATCCGGGTTGGTGGAAACCCCTTCCTCGGTCTGACGGACGGTGGCGATGTCCTCGGCGAGTGACGGCGGCGCATGGAGTCGGCTGTGTGGCGGCGGCGGTTTTCGATCACGGAGGTGGGGATCCAGAGGTGGGCAATGGCGGCTAGGGTTGGGAGCTGGGAGATTGGTTTTGGTCCATGACTTTGGGCCCTATTGTGGTTTCGGGTTTTTGATGGGCCTTGTTTTCTTTTCAGATTTTCAGCCCTTGTCTGTTTGTTGTGTGTATCTTTTCCTTTGGGCCCAGCCCATTGCATTCTTAATGAAGCACTCTTTTTTTAAAAAAAAAAACTTTCAGCTTAACTAATTAATTAATATTTGAATTAAGAAAACAAACAAAGTCAATACCTAACTTACACTCTGTTTGGGAACCTAGTGCAAATGGTGGGGGTGCATAATTGAGGGGTAAACACAGAAATCGAAATACTTACCCCCATCTGGTTCTTTTACAACAGTGGCAGGCGGGTCCATGGCTGGGGTAAATCTATTGTTTGGGTAAGCCCCCCAAATTGGGGCGTAAAACATTGTGGGGAGATAAGTATTTTATTTTTTTCATTTCTTAATTAGTCCCTTCTTGATGTTGTCCCACACACATGGTGAGAGAGAAAGAAGATTGGTCCCGGTCCCACGCCCACTTGGAGAGATGAGGAAGAAAAGTGAAATCAGATAGATGGTGAGAAAGTGTAAAAGAAAATAAATAATTTAATAATTTTTCTAAGCAAAATAGAGCTGTACATCCACAACTATCAGGTTTGTGACAAATATATGCACAACTATCGAAATACACGAAATATCCAAAAATCAGAAGGTTGTGTGACAAATCTATCCACTTATGTCTGAAACTATAACGGCGTGTCGGACGGCGTTAAATTGACTAACGGAATGCTGAATCGATGCCATCTCACCTGCCACATAAGCCAAAAAGCAACCAAACTTTACACGTAGATGCCAAATAGGCTAGTTGAATAAAGGCAAAATACAGCTGTATATCCACAACCATCAGGTTTGTGATAAATATATCCACCAGTATCAGGTTTGTGACAAATATATCCACAACTATAGAAATACAGGAAATATCCATTTCTGTCCACTTCGTTAACTCCGTCAGTTAACTTGATGACTGGACAGACGATGGATGCTTAGTTGGCGTGTTTCTGGCCCCACTGAATGACGTGGATTATAAGAGGGAAAAAAATTTAAAACCCCTAAAAACCACAGACGGTGAGACAAAATCCAACCCAGAAACATGCCCGATAATCACTTATCCTCCTCCGATCGACGGCTCCACCCCCAAATAAACCTACCCCAAGCCCATATTTCGATTCCAACCACAATCCCCAACCATTGCCTCCCTTTTACTGCGACAGCTTCCATGCAGTCGGCGCCATTGTGATACCAAGCGTAAATCTCAAACAAAAAAAAAAACTTGAATCTAACCAAATCGCCAACAGAGAAGACGACAACATCGAGGTCTAACAGATAACAATGTAAAGTTTGGTTGCTTTTTGGCTTATGTGGCAGGTGAGATGACATCGATTCAGCATTCCGTTGGTCTTGGTCAATTTAACGCCGTCTGACACGTCGTTATAGTTTCAGACGAAAATGGATAGATTTGTCACACAACCTTCCGATTTTTATATATTTCGTGTATATCGATAGTTGTGGATATATTTATCACAAACCTTATAGTTGTGGATATATAACTGTTTTTTGCCATTTTTCTAATATAAAATTATCATTAATATATTTTGCTTTCCCAATTGCACCCTCCAACTTTTTCATCCCAAACAACGATTTACGCCTCAATTCACACCCCCATAAATTAACTCCCCCTACAATTTGCACCTTACTATGCACCCCTGAATTTGCACCCCTTACTTGCCAAACATAGCGTTAAGTACACACTTTAAGAGAATCTAAACTGAGATCCCCTTCCAATTAGAGTAAAGACAGTTCTCTTATGGCTGGCATCTTCTAAGTTTGTAACTAAGAATCTTTTATTTATGTAATTAAGAATCTTTTATTTACTTTCACTTTGCTTAAAAATAAATAAGCATAATTAATGCAGAAAAGAAAAAAGGAGGCCCAAAATGGTAATATAGGTAGCAGAGGTTAGAAATAGAAGTGAAAAGAATTGCATGTGGGCTGGGCCCGCCACCACCACCCATGGGCCTGGAAAAAAAATATCAGAGGCACAGTGGTAAAAGACTAAAGAAGAAGAAGCAGTTGTTGTCGTGTAGCGTAGCGGAGCCGCGGAGGAATATATTCCCCTAAAATACATCTCCATCAATAGGTTGTGTGTGTTTTTTAATTGGTTGTTTACCTAAAAGACCACAGATGGGTCTTATTCAGTATTCACCTTTTCCAGTTAAAAAAAAAACTTTTATCTTTATCATTTTGAAATTTTTACATTCTCCATAATTCTTCTATCTCATTTGACTGCAAACTTGATTGGAGACGTTAAAATTATGTTCGCATTTTGAATTGATGAGATTTTTTTCAAAAGACCACTCGTATTATCGAGAAAACAAGCGTTATTAATTGTTAAAATACTATGTTGGACAGTGAACACCAATCCGACCAATGAATCTCAAATTATTTATTTGATCGACTCAACAGCTTAAATCGATATGACAACCTTTGTAAAAAAGTTAGGGATGGCATGATTATCTATGGTGTAGTAGTAGCCTATTACATATGTGGGTGAGGTTGCAATTTGAGATAGATGTGAAAGCTTTCAAATTAAGTTGCGTTGTGGGGATGGGGATGTACTTTTTCCCCCTCACTTCATGTAACCAGCCATTTTGGGCCTTTGAAGCAGGCCCAAGTGTTCCCCAGATGCCACACTCAAACCCCTGGTGTCGAGGACAAAGCCTACGCGGGGAGGAAAAGTACCACCACATTTTGTTGTTGAAATTACAGGTTAGGAGTTAGGAATTAATCTGCAAAAGTCGTCCTTCTTATTATTATTATTACCAGCTACGCACATTGCTCACTGCTCCTTAATAATTCTATACAGTGCAGGAGCCAGGAAGGAAAGTAGCTAACTAGCTATGAAAGAAAGTAGAGAGAAAAGAAGAGAGGAGATGGAGACAAATACAGCCAATCGATTGAATCACAAAAACAGAACAGGCAAACAAATGAGAGAGAGAGAAGGAAGAAGAAGAAGAGGAAGCGTGGCGTGGTGGTGGTGTTGCAGAAGAATGCAGAGAAGCAGAAGCAGCAGCAAAAGCCCCAGCGGCCAGCAAGCCACTCTCTCTTCCTTCAGAAATTTCAGACCCACGACCCCAACCCAGGACTTCAAAAAAAAAAAAAAAAAAAAAAAGACCCCAACCCAGACAATATTTTCTCAAAAAGGAAAATATACACAAAACACTATAGAGAGATAAACGACGACCACAACACAACAAAATTAGAGAGAGATGTAAACTGACGATGGCCACTTTAACCATTTGAAAATTGAACTTGACCCTAAATCCTAGTTATTGTATTTTAAGATGGAGGAAATTTACAATGCTATACATCTTAAAATACAATAACTAGGGTTATAGCATTGATGCTATACGTTTTTGCATTTATAATACAATTTGAAGTTGTACATTTAATGTTATAGTACAACTGTAGATTGTACCTATATTTTTTGTACAATTTCTTTTATGGTACAACTTGAACTTGTACCTTTATGTGATGGTACAACTTCTAAAATTTAAAGTTGCAGCATAACATAAGGGTACAAATTCCTTTATGGTACAACCTAAACTTATACGATTGACGTAATGGTACAACACTACAACTTAAAGTTGTACATTAAAGCACCAATGCTTTATAGCATAGTAGAAGTACTCCTTAAGCTGATGTTTCGAGTTCGTGTTGGAATTCAATTACAGCTAGGGCTGTCATTTCGGTTGCCGGTTAGCGGCTAACCGGCCGATCTAACCGTTAACCGCCGGTTAGCGGCTAACTGGAAACCGAAAAAACAGAGGGACGGTCGGTTGACGGAAGGTATCAGTGGTCAAGCGGTTAGCAGAGAAACGGAAGCCGGTTAACCGGCTAACCGACGCTAACCGACCAAGACGAAACGACGTCGTTTTGCCTACTCTTAAATAAACCAACTCCCCCCAACCCTAGCACTGCTGGCCTTCGTCGCCCGTCACCATCCTCCTCCACAAACCTCTTCCACAGCCAGTGCTGCGCCCAAACCTTCTCCGTCATCTCCTCGATCGGCACGTTCTTCGTCTCCTTCGTCTCCGGCACCAAGAAAAACACGAACACCGACATCACCGCCACCCACCCGGAGAAGAAGAGGAAGATGCCGAACTTGAAGTGGCACAACATCGACAGGAAAGCCTGCGTTATCACGAAAGTGAATAGCCACCCCAACGGTGACGCTCTGCCCCGTCGACCGTGTCTCCAGCGGGAAAGTCTCGCTCGGGATCAGCTACCCCAACAGAGCCCATGACCACGCGAACACTGACACGAACGCGATGCCCCACGCCGGCCACCTCCACGCCGCAACGCCCCCGCCGCCTACCCTGCGCCCGCCGCCTCCTCCCTTGCTCGGCGCCGGCGTGTCTTTTCCCCACCTCCCTTGCAGATCTGTTTCCATGGAGAAAGAAGGTGAGAGAAGGAGAAGGAAGGAGAGAGAAGAGGTCTGGTGGAGGAAGGAAGGAGAGAGGAGGAGATAAGGAAGGAGTGGTGGAGATTTTTTTGTTTTATTTGATTAATTTTTAGTTTTTATTTTTTGGAAAATGTAATTTTTTCGATTGGCCGGCTAAACGAGCCCAAAACTGGAACCGATCGGTGGGTTGGCCGGCTAACCGTGATCTTTCTTCGGTCGGTGGTCGGCAGCTATAGTGGGTGGCTCGGTTTAACCAATAACTGGGTTTTTGTTTTCGGTTAAACCGAAACCGACCGACTGCCACCCCTAATTACAGCCTACTAATTTTTTTTTTTGTTTAAGGCAGTTGTTGTGAGTTGAAGAAGCCCTCGTCATTTTGAGCTTAGACGCGAGAGCGTTCTATCTCTCAAAGCGAGATCTTTTTTTTTGTCAAAAGATATCATGTATTGATAAAAAAACATAGACAGTTACATCCTGGAAACCAGCCAGGTCTGGAAATCAAAAAAGCGACTCATAGTCGGATACAAAGAGAGGGCTTTCCTAGCTACCAAATGAGCTACCCTATTGTTCTCCCGACCTACAAAACGCACACTAAAACCCGGTTGAGCACGAAAATAATGAACAATTTCTTCCAGAACGGCACCCAACCGGCTATCCCTTGTGTCGGCTTGATTAATTTTGTCAATAATCACCTTTGCATCACCCTCAAACCGAACCTCCGACAAACCCTGCTCCACACACCAAATAATAGCATCCCTAAGGACAAGTAATTCCACCATGCCAGGGTCATCCAAATGAGAAAACTGAACCCCTCGAGCCATAAGGAGCGTCCGTTCATGGTCTAAAAGCACCATCCCACCAGCCGAATGTGACCCACCCTTAGTAGCTCCGTCCCACATGCAAACCAAATGGGGCTCAGTCCCTTGCGGGGCAAATTGAGTTCTCGGGATGGGAGCCATAGACGCCTGGTCCACTGGTAAACTCACCCATTCCTCATACTGTTGGTTAAACTGGCGCATGAGTACTGGGATCGCAAATTGTTTGCCTTCAAAGACAACCCAATTCCGAGACCGCCAGATCCTCCAAAGGACGGCAACCACCGCCATCACCAGTGACGGCTGACTAATCAAACCCAAAAGACGTTTGAGAAACAAAGGAAAAGTGTGCCGAGGCAAACCCTCCCCCAAGTATTCCAGACCAGAATAATCCCAGAGAGCTCGCGCAACCGGACAGTAGAGAAACAGGAGCTCCATCGTCTCCGGGCCATCCCAACAAACCGGACACCGAGAAAGCACCTGGACCTTCTTCTCAATGAGCGCCTCCATAGTCGGCAGAGCCCGAGTCAGAATTTGCCAAACAAAAACCTTCAACTTCGGCGGGATCTTCGCCTCCCAAACTCGAATCCAACTCAGCTTATCCATCCAGCTAGCCGAGGATCGCCACCCACCCCTCCTTCTATCCAAATCCACCGCCAAATGGTAAGCCGATTTAACCGAGAAGACCCCATCGGCCGTAAAATGCCATATAAGCTTGTCAGGTACATCCCAACGCGGGAGAGGAATAGTTTTAATAGCTTTACAGGTGGGTGGATCAAACCATTGACTGAGCTTCTCATCAGACCATCTCCCTCCCCCCTCACCAATAACCTCCGCTACTAATGGATCACCCCCTTCCGGCAAGATCCGTGGATTATAGCAAGGGGGATCCAGTTGGCACTTTGGAATCCAGCTGGAATGAAGGAGGGAGATCGATTGGCCATTACCAACCTGCCATCTTAACCCTCTCTCCAGCAACTGGCGCCCATAAAGGATACTTTGCCACCTCCAAGAGGGACGAGACCTAGCAGTCGCGGTCAAGAAAGACCCTTGCGGGAAATACTTGCCCTTATAGATCTGGGCAATAAGAGAATCGGGTTCATTGAGAATACGCCAGCCTATCTTAGCCAAAAGAGCTTGGTTGAAATGCTCAAACTGACGAAATCCCATCCCCCCATCATGCTTACTCCTGCACATATTACGCCAGGACACCCATCTAATCTTGGGAGTACCCTCCTCCGCACCCCACCAAAAATGGGCCACATGCTTATCTAACAGACGACAAAGCGCCAGGGGAAGCCGGAAACAAGACATGACATGAAGCGGAAGCGCCAACGCTATGGATTTAATCAAAGTTTCCTTAGCCGCCCACGACAAAGTCCTTTGCTTCCACCCCTGAAGTCGCTCTAGGAGCTTGTCCTCCAAATATCTGAACGTAGCCATTTTGGAACGAGCGACCAGCGTTGGAAGGCCCAGATATTTATCATGGACCCCCACTGCACCAACCCCTAGAATCGCAGCCAAGAACTCCTGGTCTGGTGCGGATATATTCTTACTAAAGCACACCGCCGATTTCTCCAAATTAACGCGTTGACCACTCAGTTCCTCATATTCATTCAGCACCGTAATTAAATTCTCACACTCCTGAAGCGAACCTCGCAAAAATAAATAAGAATCATCTGCAAAGAACAAGTGCGAGATTCGTGGAGCACGAGGGGCAACTTTCACTCCCTCTAATTTTTTTCTCTATGATTGCCTTTCGGAGGAGGGCTGCAAACCCCTCTGTGCAGAGCACAAACAAGAGAGGAGAGAGCGGGTCCCCCTGACGAAGGCCCCTAGAGGCAGTGAAATACCCCGAAGGTGTACCATTCATCAGGACCGAAAAAGATGATGAGCGGAGGCATTCATGTATCCATCCCTGCCAGACTGAACTAAAACCCATCTTATCCAATACTGCAAGCAGGAAGGGCCATTCGACTCTATCATAGGCCTTTTCCATGTCAACCTTAAGAGCCATGTACCCCTTCTTCCCTTGCTTTTTGATCTTCAGATAATGCATTAGTTCATGTCCTATAAGGATGTTATCAATAATCTGCCGGTCTTTGATAAACCCATTTTGGCCTTCCGAAACAATCTGAGGAAGCATACTAGCCAGCCGTTCCGCCATGATTTTAGTAATCACTTTATAAACAAATTGGCAGAGACTAATCGTGCGCAATTGCTTAATTGTTTCCACTGACTCCACTTTAGGGATCAATGTGAGCCAGGTATGGTTAAAGCTCCGCAGCATCCGACTCGATGTAAAGAAAGAGATTACAGCTTCCACCACCGAAGTGCCCACAATATCCCAAAAAGCTTTAAAGAACTTTCCTGTAAATCCATCTGATCCCGGGGCCTGTTTCGAACCCATGGCAAAGACCGTACGTCGGACCTCACTAGGCAACACCTCTGCCGTTAATTGTGTATTCATTTGCGGAGTAACACTATGTGCAATCGGCAAAGTTGCCACCCTCTCGGCCAGATTAGGAACCTGCAATTCCGAGGTAAACAGGGTCTGGTAAAAATTGGTGGCAATAGCAGCCTTTTCAGGTTCCGTAGTGACCCAATCACCCTCCTCATTCCGAAGCCCGGGGACAAAATTCCTCTTCCGCCTAGCCCTTGTGACCGTATGAAAATAGGCAGAATTTTGATCTCCTTTTTTTAACCACTTAACTCTGGATTTTTGCTGCCAGAAGACCTCCTCCGCTTCCCACTGACGGGAGAGCTCCGTTTCCAGGGTCCTGATCATATCCCAATCCACCGGATGAAGCAATTTTATCCTTTCTATCTCAGCTTGGAGCGTCTTGATATTGTGCAGGGAATTAGTCGTGCCCGCCCTGCTCCAATCATATAAAAGATGGCGGAGCTTCTTTAAGCGTTCCCACAGTCGAAACATAGGGGTGCCTTGGACCTCCTCCTGCCAGACATAGTTGACCATGGCTCTCACCTCCGGGTTATCCGCCCAGCGGGCATCAAACCGGAAAAGCGGCCGAGTAGTACAAACATATGGTTTATCAGCAAGGAGAAGTGCACGATGATCCGATCCCTGATCCGTGAAATGCTTGACAAGAGTCTCCGGGTAGGTATCCATCCAAGATTGAGAGCAAATAGCTTTAAGACGTGCACGAATGCAAGCGTCGCCCATGCGCTTATTAGTCCAAGTAAATTGATCCCCCTGGTAACCGGGGTCATGAAGACCCAACTCATGAACGAATTCGCGGAGACTAAAAGCTTGGGCAGCATTCCACGCCCTCCCCCCATCTTTTTCACTTTCATGCAAAGTAGCATTGAAATCGCCGATGATCACATAAGGATGATTGATATTTGCACAAACATTTCTCAAATGAGCCAACTGGGTTGCTCGAACAGCAGCATGACAACTGATATAAACAAAGATCACGACATAAGAAAAATCTCCTTCATTGATTTGCGAACAAATATAGAAATGAGAATGACAAAACACCGAAGTGTTAACCCCGGGGGGCCCAAGCTACTACTAAACCTCCCGATGCATCGACTGCATCAACAAAAAAACAATGCGAAACAGGAAAACCTAAACCCTGCATACGACGGGATACTACACGCCGGTTCGATCGAGTTTCCGAAAAAAAAACGAGATCCGGTTTATTAGAATGCACAAGCCCTACAGCAGTTTGGAAGGTGAGGGATGGCCCAATTCCTCTCACATTCCAGGCCAGAATCCTCATTTATCACCTTGGGGCCACTCGAGGCTGGCTTTCTCCACCTTTTCCAGATCATCAGATGATTCCACAAATTGCTTCTTCGGGGTAGGGGGATCACCCACCTCCCCATCCAACTCCTCGAGCACACGCTTTCTGTTCTCCACTGGTGGGTCCATGAGATTAGTCCCATATTCATTGAGAGTCGAGCGAGGCCCATCAAGAGGTATCTCCTCCGCTTGAGCAAAGACCAATCCAGCTTCAAATGCCTCAACCACGCGGTGAACACGTCCAGTCAAGCCTTTTCGAGTCTCCATGGAGACCCCACCTGGTGACCTTCTCTTGATCTCAAATGGAAGGTGATCGTCATTCGACTGATCATCCTCTGAATCGATGACCTGCTGTTGGCCCTCATGATTTTGAGAGGGTACAACCTCCTCATCCACCAATTCCTGCGGAACATCATGAGGATTCGATCCCCCATCCTGCTTCAACGTAGCTCGAAAGCATTCAGCTCCTCCCTTTTTCAGTCGCGGGCGAGCCCGTTGCACCATACTGCCAGCTTGAGAAGATCCCTTTGGTTGACCCTGCGGGTTCTCCAGGGGCTGCATAGCTTGAGAAACCTCCACTCCAACCAACTCCTCCTCCTCTGATTCCTCTTGCAAGATCAGTCATCTCCTTCGGGATTGTTCAAGAACAACCTCTACCTGATCTTCTGTACTTTGTCGGTTTGACACTTTCTTGACTCGTCGTCCCACCTGCTGACGACCCTTGGAGCCCTTCCGAGTGGGGGGTGCCGCCCCTCTGGGTGACCATTTCTTTTGATGCAGGCGGACCCCACCACCAATCTTCACTCGAGGTGAGGCCTTGAAGACCATCTGTTTAGGACTGGCACCATTCCCTGTCAGCTTCGGCTTAGGCTCTTGCAACCGAGGTTGCATCTTCGTCTTATCATGGAGCTCCTGTTCACCTATAAAAGGTTTAGCCGCCTGGGCAAAGGATCGAGCGGAAGGAACCAGGCGTTCTCCCATATCACGAGCTCGAGCAGGCTTCATGGTCTTTGCAGCCCCATCCTCACGCCTTTGAGCATTCTTATTTACCCACACCGACTTACTAGCATTATGAAATTTCGGATATTCCTCCTCCTCAATGTAGATTTTCCTTCCCAGCTTCCTTGTGGACATATGTGGCCCAAAGCGTTCTTTACCCAAGGGTGGAGCAAAATTACATTCAGGTTTGGCATGCCCCACGCGGCCACAGAGATAGCAGAAAGTTGGCAGATATTCATATTTGAAATTGACCCAGAATTCACCAAGCTCGTCACTAACCGCCCTGATTTGAGACCGCAGTGGTTTAGTAAAGTCAATGAGGACGTGCACTTTGACAAAACACTCCTCTATTTCCCTAGATGTGAAGACATCAGCTTCCAAGACTTGACCGATTCTTCCAGCTGCAACTTTCCTGCCAAATTGTTTAGTGCAACAATCCTCTTTCACGTTCCAAAGTTGGACACGAAAGAGGGCAATGGCCAAGTCATCGAATGTCAACCTTGTGATTGATGGCGTCCAGGATCGGAGATGAAGAATCCTATCCTTAACAATCCAAGGAGTTCTCTTTAGGATCCAAATCCTCGTCTCCTCACTAGGGAGAACAATCTCAAATAGGCCATACTTAGTGACCGAAACCCTAAGGTTTCCTTGCACCCTCCATGCCTCCACCAAGCCCTCCCGCAACTCACTAGGAGTAAAATTGGTTTCCGAGAACAACCTTCCCAAAAGTGTTCTCGACGTTCGAAATTTCACCGACTGGACCTCTTTGAGCGTGAATTCCACCACCTGATCCGCCGCTATACGTGCCATATTAGCAACCTGCCACAGAGGGTTATGAATTAAATTAGTCTCATCGGAATTAACCATTCCAAAATCAACTAAAATACATGGCAACAGAGTACTAAGGGGACTAGCCACGAAGGCCCTCTTTTCCCAAACAAAAATTGGACCCAGCCCACAGTTGGCGGCCCAATACACCTGGGACGGGTCGAAACCCACACGCAAATAAAAAACTCTGCAGGGTCGGCAGGTCTGGAGGAACTTGTCTCTGGCCAGAAGCAGCAGGCTGAAATCCCAGCCGCCCTGAAGGACGCGAGCACCCTGCTATCGACCGGAGTTCCGCCGCGGAGGATTCCCGAGCTTTGGTAATAGAAGAGAACAGAAGAGGCTTGGAGAAATCCCCCATCCCTGAAAGAGAAGCACGATCCGAGTGCTGCAGCAGCGGGTGATGCTCGCTTCTCGCCGCTCCCAAGTTCTCTGGATGGGCAGCGCTCTTCGTCTCTGTTTGCCGAGAGATGCACAGTGATGGGCTAGCAGGGGGCTCGGCACATTTAAATAGGGCAGAGTCCCTATGCCGCAATAAAAAGGAGAAGGATCCCCTCAAAATCCGTCCTCGTTTTCTAGTTGGACTAGGATTGAGAGATCTCCGACGGTTAGAGAAGATGCTCCCATCAAATCGAATCCAATCTCCGTTATTCCCGCTCAACCGACCTGGAAACTCGCAGGGAGTCCCAATCGTACCCACCAAGCCCAATCATCCCCCCGCCATCTGACGACGTCCCTCGGCCCACCGGCTACTTGAATCATCGTCGATGCCGGCGACAAAAGGTGGGTATTTGCTTGACAGCAGTGCAACTCTTCCATTGCTTGCCGACCCAACACTGAAATCTTCCCCGAGGGGATCAGTCTGAGTAAACCATTCTACTTTTTTAGAACCCAAAAGACGCTCGTTTGTACCAAACAAGCAGGGGATAACAGCCCCTTCCAATACTCGATGCAGCTTTGCTCGAAAAGTTTAAGCCCCGAAGGGTGTTAATCGATCTTTGAGGATCTGCGGCTCTAGGCCGTCGCGACTACCCAATTGGGCTTGTTACCGTTCTTCGCGAGCGAAGGCAAAACAGTTTCTTCCTCCTCCAATTCCGACGATGAAGGGAGGCTGAATCTCCAAGGATTCCGAGGCCTGTGACAGGCTCTCTTATTGGGGCGATCGACTGGCAGAGTCTCCTCAGCAAGACCCGTACACAGCGAGTGCTTCTTGAGGCGGATCCTTTGATCCCGACGCCGGGCACTTTCACTCTGTTCCCTCTTCTTAATCCGATTCACCGACTCAGGGGAAATACCTCCCTTTCTATTATTGCATAGGGGTTCCCTAATGACCATCTCCACGCACGGGAAGGCAGTCGAGGGAAACGATCCCTGCGACCAGGGACACTGGTTTCGCACACTGACGGAGAAAACACGGACGGCGGCCTGCCATACCCACCGGCCAAGAACCGAAGCGAAAAAGAGGAGAGAGGAGAGAGCTCCTCTCATCTTTTTTTTATGCCAAATATCAAATAATTGAATTTCCATCACAGTACATAAATTAGAGAAAAAAGCTACGAATTTTGGAGTCCGTTTTGTTGGCTTTTCTTGTAAGAGAGGTGTTCATTTCGCGACAAGGAAAGTTTTATTGTTGTATGTTCAATTTTATTTCTCGCCTATTTATTAATATTTTATCCTAACAACTGCATGTACACGCTTCATTTTTTATAATAGGATTACACTAGAGAGCCGAAATGTGACATTTTGTCTAAGATCTGGAAACCACTCAATCCATCTTCAGATCACCTCCTTTTGCAGTTTGGGCCGGCTATCGGTTTGGAGGCAAAATGGTTTTCTGGAGGCAATTTTCAATATTGACTTCGATCAACATGATTCAACTGGCCGATCGACTTGACTACGGTTTAACAACCTCCTATATCGTTTACAATCCTGGTAAATAAGTATAGTACTCTGGCACCTTCATGGTGTGTTGTGCTCTTGGTGTACCTGACTGAAAGTAGGAGGCAAGTACTTTAGAGAGGCTTCAAATTGGTTGAGGCGCAAAAATTTGATGTTTTTCTCTTATATATATATATCCCACAAGCTGGTGGACACATTGTGCACAAAGCATGCATGTAGAGAAGATAACAACCTGTTTGGATAGGCAAAAAACTCAAGAATTGGAATTCTATTTCCAATTTCAATTCCATATTTTATGTTTGGAATGATAGGAAGGTTGATAAATGAATTCCATTTCGCCTAAGTTTTGGAATTACAGTTCCTATTGAAAGTGGTAGGAATTGGGTTTGTGGAGATGGAATTAGTGAAAAAAATCAAACTTCTCTCTTACTTTACCTTTCAAATTTCACTCTCCCTTCTCTCTAAAGAGCCTCCAGTCTCCAGCCTTCCATGGTTGCCGTCGGCACCCTCTAGTGACCGGCGGCAGCCCAAGTGCTCTCATTTCCTTCGATTTTTCTTGCTTTCCATGCTCTTGATGTTTTTCTCTCTCGGTTTTCTTGCTTTTCTCCAGCCGTTTGGCATTCCAGCCGTTGTGGCATTCCAAATCTAGGATTTTCCAGTATCAAGGCTTTCTCTTTTGGGGTCCTGGAGTTTGCAGCTAGGGAGGCTTGATTGTCGCGTGTGATGGTTGTTCTTCCAGGCTGGTGGTCTCATCTCCTAGGTGAATTCATTCTCATCTTTCCCGTTGCGGCCTCCCCGGGTTGATGTTGGTGCTCGGAGGATCGTTGGATTGTTGAGGGCTGAGTCTTCTCCGGTTGCTGCGGTGGGAATCGGTCCTTTTGTGGCGGTTTTTGGCTTTCCCAGGAAGCTCGGCTCTCATTCGAACATGACGCCGGTGTCTTGGCCCCTCTGCCTTCTCAGCTTGGAGCAATCTGTTTCACATCCTCTTCCACCGTCAAGCAATCTCTAGTTGAGATTCACTGTGATGGATGTCTTTGAACTATCCCCAGGAGACGGCTGATGGCATTGCGTGTTCAATCGCCATGGATCTCGCTGTGATCGGACAAGCTGTTTTGATCTTGTTGCCCTTGGTTTGATAGGAAGAGAGAGGGTTTATGAAAGTTCTGTGTTTCAAGAGCTTGGCTGGTTTTTGTGTGATGTCAATCTATGCCTTGCTTTTCCCTGCCGTATTTTTCCAAGGCATGGTTTGATATCAACCTGTTCTCCCTTATTGCTTTGATCTTGTTTTGAATATGGGTTTTTGTTCCCTCTTTGTAACCTATCATTCAAAGAGCAATAAAGATCAATTGTAAAAAAAAAAGACGGAATTAGTGGGTTCCATCATTATTTATTATTATTTTATTAATCAACTATCACTCTACTCTCTCTATCATTCATAGTCCATTTCCAAAGATAAAACAAACATATTATATTATTAATTATAGTTAAAAGTGAAATTCATTTCCATAGTTGTACAAATTATACCAAACACAAAAATTGGAAATGAAATTCTATAAAAATAGACAATGAAAATGAAATTCCATTTCCATTTCTTCCGGAATTGTATCCAAACAAGTCGTAAGTGAAAGTGGTAGGAGGAAGAGCCGTGGTAAAATAGGTCTTCCAATTGGGGTGTAGTAGCTTTAGATACATGAAGAACCTTAATTATATGAGCCTGAGACTTTTCACTCACAAAGTGACAATCGACCTCGATGTGCTTTGTACGCTCATGAAAAATGGGATTTTCAACAAAACTATTGCTTTTCTATAATACCACCTCCAACTGCGACCAATCATTAATTAGACATATATAGTGTATGGCCAAATCAAAACTAATAAGTCGTTCATGGTAATGGATATCGCATTCAAACCCTCTATAGATAATTTGACCCTATGTAATCTATACACACATAGATATGATGATGATGATGATGATGATGATGATGATAATAATAATAATAATAATGATGATGATGAATCATGAATCCCACCTTCCCTCCAAAATATATTTGGACATGGTCAGCAGCAGACTCACTCACGAGTACAGAATTCCTTTCCTTTTACTGCTCAAGAACAACGACCCACTATTATTTCTCCTTCATTTACGGTGCTCTGTTTCTTTCATTCGTTCCTTTTGGTTTTCATTCTTGCAATCAAGGTTGTCAAACCGGTTTAAGTTATTGAGCCGATCAAGAAAGGGGTTTGAAATATAATGGTCTGATAAGGGTATGTCCACCATTTTAGACTTTTTCTAAATATATATGTAAATAAGGTAGTTATTAAAAATTCAAGGGCTAATTCCACTAGAAAGTCCAAACTATTTTAAAAGTGTCATTTGTATTCTAAACTATTTAATTTGACAAATCTGACACAAACTATATGCGTTTCGTGACATTTGTGTCATAAACTTATTCAATATGACAAATCTGGCAGACTGGCACAAACAACATAGATGTTGACTAGATTTTCTGATAAATACTAAGGGTCTACGCCGGTCAACTTTAACGAAAAAATAGTTCGTGTCAGATTTGCCATATTGAATAGTTTAGAACACAAATGACACTTTTTGAATAGTTTAGGCTTTCTAGTGAAATTTATTATACAAGTATTTATTAAAAACTTATTTTCCACAAAATCGATCTATCTAACCTCCATGACCCATCCACCATCTCCCTTCATTCGTTTCTTTTCCTCTCTTCTTCCCCCTCTTTAAAGGTCAGACTAGAGGTTTTCTAGAGATCGTTTTGAAGCCCGACTTAGATCGAACCGGATCCAATCGAGGATTCGAAAGGGGGTTAACAACCTTGCTTGGGATGCAATTGGCTGGCTGGATGGCAGTACAAGAAGAACTGCTCCCACCAATGGAATTCCGAAAGCTGGCTGCAGATTCAGCGCCCTTTTCATTTATTTTTTGCTTTTGTTCTTCTTCTTATATTAATGTATTTGGAGAAAATTAAATGCAAATCCTTAGTATTTTTGTATAGTTGTATGACATTCATATGATGTGGTGTTTCCCTTACTTTTATTTCCTTTCCTGGCTTTCAGATTCTTCCTTCCAGATTCCTGCTTCGTCCCATCATGCATTATTAGTTATTACTATTATTCACCACCAACCAAGGTTGTCAACCCACGGGTTGACCCAGACCGGGTTGAGCTAGTGAGTCAAGGGTTAATGGGTCACCCGTTTTAGCTCGGTTTAGCCCGAAAATATGGAAAGCGTCATTATATTGTACTTATCCTCATAAATTATATCAAATCTCATCTAACATATGAATTATAACATATAATATTACACCAAAATAACATTTCGTACTTAGATTCAACATATAGTGAAAATTCACACACACTTATATAACATTAATATTCAAATGTTCAACTTAGGATTCCAAAGATTGAGTTAGGCGAAAAGAAAAATCGGAAAATAGGCGCATTTCGCAAAACAAAACAAAAATGACACAATTTGACCTCCAACCCGGTATCTTGTGACGATCGACCCGACAGATGGGTGCGGCCCATTTTTCTCACCGGGTCAAGGTCAAAGTGGGTCAACCCGGCCACCAACACACAAGAAGAAGATAAAGAGTAAAATTAACCAGTAGTACAATGTTGTGACTTGTGATCCATTTTTCGCCCCTCCTTAGAAGGGCACAGATGGAAATTCACAGATCAATCTGTTGGGGATTGGTGGTCATGTCTCCCTCCCACTTTCCATCCATGCTATGTGGAAGATTTAACGTGAAATTTTTTTTTTCAAGTTTTACTCTAAAACGTAATTTCTAGATCGCGCACGTGTGCTAATTGAAGTAGTGTACGTTCATCTTGTTACCGAAAAGGTCCTTCACTTTTACCACGAAGTCAATCACGCAATATTACAACAAGAGTTAATTTAGCAAATTCAAGCTACGTACAAATGAAACTCGACGGTTAAATTAAATTACAAATTAAGTTATTTCAATCGTCATATCATCTTATCCCTAAGCCGACCGCGGCGCCGCTGCCAGTATCTCTTGATCACTCGCATGAGGAGGTTCGGGTGATGCCGGCGCCATTGCCGCTTCCGGGGCTCCTTCCGGCGAACTTGCCGGCGAGCCGTAGCCCATGCCGCTGAGGAAAAAAAAAAGGAAAACAAATTAGTAAGGAAGGAACAATCGAATTATTATCAATTAGTTGGAACTAGTTAGTGGCCGGGCATGGCATTCAAGATAAATCCCTTATGTTGATCTTCATCCTTACATATGTATAGTAATTAAAAATCTGTTTAGTAGGAGTAAATGCGGGAGAAGAATATGGTGTAAAAATTAAAAGCCAAAATCTGTAAAATTTATAAAATACGGTATCGCGCCACCTCTGATAAAATTATTGTCAGGATGGTAAGATTCTTATAAGGGTTGTTAATGTACAGGATTTTGTAGGTTTAGTGGATTTGAGTTTTACCCCAGAAACTTATGATACTAAATGCGGTTATACCTTTCATTCACATATTATTGTATGCGTTGATTTGATAGCTAAAAACATATGGCTTGTTTGTTAAGAAAAATATGGGTTGAGAATTGGACGACATTCGCTTGTTAATAATTCGTATACATTGATCAAACATTTGGAAAAAAATGAGGACGCAATTGAATAACATCAGTTTTCTTGTGTATAAGTGTTTCAGTATATCAAGTATAAATATTTAAATTATTAATTCGTATACATTAATTATTTACTATAGTAATAAAAATATGTTATGCCTGCAGGTTGTTTTAAGTTATGTAACTTCTAATGTTTTCTCGCTGGTCTTGTGATTAAAAAAAAAAAAGCAATGGTAAATGGAAATGGAACAAAAAGCTAATTAAGAGGAGGATATAAATTTGACAGCATTAACTTTCTTACCTCATTGTACCTTTGAGCCAATCCTTCCACGAGGAACCGTCTTTCCCGTCCACGGCGTCCTTGAGAGCCTGAGCAATCTCCGGAGAAGCTGCCGCGCCGCCGGGGGACTGGGCCCACGACTCAAGAGCCTCCTTGGCGTCTTGGCCTTTGGCTCCGGCGGAATCCGCGAATTGCTGGACGGCGTCCTTCACGTCCGGGGCGGCGGCCGAGATGGCCTTCTTCGCATTGTCGAGGGACTCGCTCGACAAGAGCGACGACACCGACTCCGAGTTGATGTTGTCCAAGAAGCCGTCGCCGGCGACGGGGCCGGCGTTGAGTAATAGAAGGAGAAGTACTAGTACCGGGCAGGAAAGAAGGAGCATGTTGCGATGTCTCGTTTCTGCCATTATTATTTTTTTTTTGTTTTTATTTGGGTGGGTTCCTTATCTTCTTTTGGCGTTCTTATAGCTCCTTTTCCGCTATTTTTTCTGATTCTGATGGCGTTGAGCGCTTTTCTCCTGTTTTTTTTTTTTCCAACAAAGTGCGATGGCGTTGAGTGGTTAATTAATTATCAACGGTAATTTGCTGGTAATTAATGACGGAAATTTTGTTTATGTGGTTTATTTGTTTTGATCGGTTGCAGTCGGGCGGAGGGGAGGTTTGCAAATTGCTAGTCAAGAACATTATGGTATGTTGAAATAAATCCATGTCTCGCACTTCTACTTTTCTGTCACCGAGGTGGCAATTAGAATCCAAATCCATCAACCCAATCCAATCTAATCCATTTAAATCCAATTCATTTGATCCAAATTCAATTCGATTGGTAGATTCATGGATCAATCCATGGATCCAAATGACAAATTACGATTTGGTAACTATATTTTTTTTATTTTACATTTGGTACCTAAAATTTATATTTTTATACAAAAAATATCATTGGAAAATTACATTTTGGTACCTAAAATTTTTCATTATGACATTTTAGTACCAAAACTTTTCAATTTTTACATTTTGGTCCAAGCTTTGGATGTCATTTGGATTCATGGATCAATCCACCAATCCATTTGATCCAATCCATTAGATACAATCCATTTGATCCATGGATCCACCAATCCAATCCACGAATCCACGAATCTGATCCAATTGCCACCTCTACCTCTCTGTCTTTCTTCAGGTTGGGATTCGTTTTTGTACATATTTATTTTATGAGAGATTATTTTGTAATTTTTCTAGGTCATAACTATAGGTGTCAAAACATAGCCCGACCCGATTAACCCGCCCGATCAACCCGACCCGCAACCCGACCGCAACCCGAATTGACTAAAAGTCAACAACCCGTAACCCGCCCGACCCGCAACCCGATTGACCCGCAACCCAACTAACCCGCAACCCGACTGACCCGCAACCCGATTAACCCGCAACCCGATGACCCGCGACCCGATTAACCCGAACCCGACTAACCCGTAACCCGACCGACTCAACCCTAATTTCATCTAATCCACTTGAATAATTATAAAAATATACAATACATAGTTTTTCAAAATAATGTTTTTCATTCTAAACTTAAGTAAAATTATTTTTTCATTTCGTATAAGAAATTTTAAAAATATGAAACTCACTTGATATTACGTATTTTAAGAAAATTACAAAAATTGAAACATGAAGGTCACTTGAGATCATGACAATATTAATATAATATATAAATTAAAATTTTGGATAATTTAACTATTCAATAAAATTATCAATTAAATATAAATAAAGTAAAGTAATGTATTTGGTAATTTGATGTTTTTAAAAGAAGAGGGAAATTTTGGTGTATTCAAGTTTCTGGGAAGAGAAAGAAGAGGGAAATTTGGTTCTTTGAATTTTTTAGAAAAGAAACAAGTGGGAATTTTGGTGGTTTTAATATGTGGGAAGAGAAAGAATTGGGAAAATTTGATTCTTTTGATTATGAAAGAGAAATAAGGAGGGAAACTTTTGACTTTTCAACTTTTTGTAGAAGGAAAGAAGAGGGTAATTTGTTTTTTTCAATTTGGTGTTTTTCTAATGTATGGAAGGAGAAAGAAGGAGGGAAATTTTAGTATTTTTGTGAAAAGAAAGAAGGAAACAAATTTGGTGTTTTCAATTTTTTGGTTTTTCATCATTTTAGCTTTTGAAATATGAATCTTTAACTTTTATATGGAGGGCATGACTAGTTAAAATTATCCTTATATGCTTTGAAGGCTAATATGTATATATGTATGTAATTTTTTATGGGCTAATAAATAAATTAACCATTAGTTACAACAATTTATACTAAACTTGATAAGCAATCTTTGACGGTTCGTTGTTTAGGATATAAAGTATATGGTTAGGGTATAAGGTATAACCGTATAAGGTACATATGGTTTAGGGTGTATATGGTTAGGGTACAAGATATTGATGGTTTTGACGGTTTAAGTTTTTTATTAACATATGTTCACTTGAAGTTGAAGTCTTTAACGACAGGAGATCCCTTTTTAATTTATGTTTATGGTACGTGGTTAGGGTACAAGGTATGTGGTGTAAAGTATATGATATATGGTTAGGGTATAACAATTAGCAAATATCATTTTTTATCTATGTTTTGAAAATCAAAGTATGAATTTCACTTTTAAATTAACTATACTAGCAAAATCACAACTCAAGGACATATGATTAGGGTATAGGTTATGTGGTTAGTGTATAATGTATTGATGGTTTAGGGTATACAATCAACAACATATACTAACTTAATATTGTTGATTGAGGGTAAAGCTAAGTGTATAGGATATATGCTATTGAGTAAGTTATGATTGAAGTCACGATAATTTTACTAAATTTGATAGCTAATCTTTAATGGTTCAATTTTTAGGATAATTCGAACAATTTTACAAATAACTCGTTTGGCAACAGTTTACTAAAGTTATTTGGGCAATGTGTTATTTTGAAATAACTTCTTTTATCACTATGCTTTTGCCAAATACCACAGCCAAATACCAGATTTGCATGGTTATACTAAACGAGATACTTTAATCCAATTACTACTGAATTAATACTAAAATATCAAATAAACAATTAACGGTGTCTTTTGGTTGCAAATATTGATATCACCATTACTATTAGCTATAATACTTTACCAATTATGATTAATTACAAAACAAGTTTGCAAGTCATACAAATTGATTTAACATTTTGACTAGTTTTTTTCAAAAAAATAAAGTATATATATACGAGGTAGAAATAAATTGGTTAAAAAATTGAGAAAATATTTTAAATTAGTGTAATAAAATGTGTAAGTTGGTAATGAGTAATGAGTTAAGTTACTTGATGCGCTGGCCCGAACAACCCTAAACCCGACCCGCCCGCAACCCGCCCGACCCAAAACCCGATGAACTCGCAACCCGATTTGCCCGCAACCCGACTGAATCCGAACCCGATGAACCCGCAACCCGACTAACCCGCAACCCGTTTGAACCCGAACCCGATGAACCCGAACCCGATCAACCCGCAACCCGACTAACCCACAACTCGTTTGAACCCAAACCCGATTGAACCCAGCCCGAACCCGCCCGAACCCGCCCGATTGACACCTATAGTCATAACCCTAGCTTCCCGTCAGATGAAGATGAAGCTAGCTAGACCATATATATTTGTTTGATGTATGCACCAGCGGCAGCAAGCCAAGAACAACAAAAGAATAAAATTATCTCTGAGAGCGTAGAGTTCTCAGTGGACTAGTCCCGTTTGATTATGAACGGGAAACCACGTAATCGTTGTCGTGTTCTTTTTCGTTTATGAAATCATCATATTTTAAATGGTATCAGAGCTGTGAGTGGATTCACAGGATATTCTTTGTCATGAGTGCCAACACTGTTGAGGATTTGCAATCACCCTCTCCTCTTCACCTTCATCGATCGGACAACCCTAGTCAATTATTTCTTGGGGATTTGCTTACCGACGTAATTATGGAGAAAGGATCAGAGATATCACCGATTGTCTCCTTGCCAAAAACAAGCTCGATTTTGTGGATGGGAGCTTTCCGATTCTCACGTCTGGTGCTGATCGGGACGCTTGGAAGCGTTGCGATGCTATTGTTAAAGGGTGGTTGAAAACCATCATGTCCAATGAGGTTCGTAGGAGCGTCTGGTTCGTCTCGACATCGAGGGAAATCTTGATGGATATTCAAGCGCGTTTTGGTCATGGAAGCGCGTCCCGCCTGTACGTGGGCACAGGGTCGGGCCGCCCACGGGCTAGCACGGCACGAGCATGGGCACGAAATAAATGGGTCAGCCCGGCACGTGCACGAATAATTTATGTGCCATGTCGGGCCTAAACTTCATGGGCACAGGCACGAGCACGACACGATATATAAATGGGCCGTGTTGTGCATAATATTTTTTAGATTTTATTGAGTATAAGAACGGATATGTCACAAAAATAACATTTATTTGATAGAAAATAAATATAGAAAGAATTATAGGTTCAAATATTACAAAATAAAAGTAGAAAAATAATTATTTGTTGTTGTTAGAAGTGTCATAAAGATATATACGTAATTACTACCATAAGTAAAAATGGACGAAGAATTAAACAAAGCCAAATCATACCCACTATATTTTCAATTTTCTTATCCCCTTATTTTTTACTTTTCTCAAACATTCTCGGTTAATACTATCTTTCTCCGTCCAATTTTTCACCTTCTTTTTAATTCTCTCTTTTATTTTCTTCCTTTTCATTAGACACGAATACGAGCACGACATGAACACAAATAGGCACGACACGATTCGAAACGTGCTCGGGCCTAGCAAAGTTAAAAAATGGGCTTTCACGGCACGACACGAAAACTGACGGGCCGTGCCAAACACGACAGGAAATAAATGGGCCCGAAGCGTGCCCGTGCCTTGTTGGCCCAAGCACGGCCCAGCGGCCATGTACAGTCCCGCCTTTATGAACTGCAACGCCAAATTGGTCTTATTCAACAAGAAATATCTTCTGTTTCAGCCTTCTATACCAAACTAAGAGGGTTTTGGGACGAAATTCAGTCTTTGGCTCCTTCGATGGAGTGCTCTTGTAATGGTTGTACCTGCGATGTGAAGCACCGACAGCGGGCGGTCAAAAAAAGAGTGCGCCTCTTCGATTTCTTGATGGGACTTTGATATGATCCCAAATTGCTTAACCTTTGAGCTTCCATGGATTAATCAAGAAGTTAGTTTCACAAGGAAGAAATCATCTGAATTTTGGTCAAGTCTTTTATGTGTTTCAGGTTACCAACTTTGGAGGCTTGGTTCGATCAATTCATTTAAAGGAACCTCGAGTTTGATGGCTTGTTTTGAAGATGGAGCAACCCTATGTAAGATGAAAGGCTTAGAAGTTCCAATTGAAGTCTCGAAGACCATGATTGAAGCTCTCCAAGTTGCCAAGTCAAAACCGAGAATCTGCCTATTTTTGGCTAAGGCAAATAGCGAGTTCGAGGTGCCAACTTTGGAGCTTAATAGCTGGAGTTTGGGATATCACGAGAGACTAATTTGAGTTGCCATGGGAAGAAGAGTACTTTCTAAAGCAAGGGAAGGAATTGGATGAAGACGACTAGCCTGGAAAGATCATTTTTGAGGCACTCAAAGATGCTGCCTTGAGCTGTCAAAAATTCGTATGACATTAGGATTCCGAGTTGGATTCGGATTACTTGTATAATTTAGTTGCTTAATTAGGTTAGTTTCGATTCGCGTTTAGGTTTGTTGAAGCTTGTTTATGCCTATAAAAGGGCTCATTCATGTATTGTGAAGTTCATAGTTGAATGAATAAGAAAACCCCAAAATTCCCAACTTGTGTGTTGTGAGTTTGTTTTGGTTTTGGTTGCGATCAAAGCTTATTGAACCCTAGCTTATTGATCGAGCAAACCCACTCGATTATATCAAAGGCATCGACTTAACGATTGTGTAATATCACTATTGTGAGACTCCCCTTTCGTTTCCATCAAATCCGGCTCAAACAAGCTTAACCGAGCTTGTTTGAAGCTCTGTTTTTGGAAGTTCTAGAACAAGGAGCTCGAGTACATTATTTTATCTTGAGAGGTTGTGCAATTCTGATCAAACACCCTCCTCAGGTGTTATCAAGTGGCATCAGAGCCTTAGGTTTAAACATAGTGGCCAGGACAACGATTTCCACGAAGGAAGGAGGCGCCAAATCAACCCACTGGACAAGGTTGAAAGGCCCTGTTCCCAGTCAAGCAGCAGAAAATCTCTCGGAGAAGAAGAAAAAGAAGAAACAGGCGGCCGCAGCGTCAGCTCAACTAGTTGAGATCGACAACACAGCTTCTAGGATCAACGAGGACGCAATTATGGGTGATCAGCAGCCCATTACGATGGCGGCGTTGCAACAATTTTTTCAAGAGCAAGTTGCTGCTCTGTTACAGGTACAATTAAATAAACAGGACGAGAAGTTTGCCACGCTCTCAGCCAAGTTTGACGACATGTCTCAGCAGGTTGGAACCTTCAATTGGCAAGACAAAGCATCGAGTACCGATACCACAGGAGTAAGGACTCGTCGGGAGGATAACTTCCCACTGTCGGAAAATTTTGTTGACCCATCGGGAAACAGAAACCCATAACAGAACAAGCTCTGGCCGAACGAGTTCATGCACTGGAACAACAATTGATGACTCTGGAATTCAATATTGAAAACAACACCCACTCAATCGGCATCGAGGAGGATTTTCGCGATTGAATCACGAAGCACAGGAAGTTTCGGTTTCGGAATTGCAGGGGATCAAATTGTCTGTTCCCTCCTTCCAAGGAACGATCAATGCTTTTGCCTATTTGGATTGGGAGAGGAAGATCTTATTATTTTTTTAGTGTGGCCATTATACATATTCACATAAGGTTGCATTGGTCCCTTATGAGTTTAAGGATTACGCCGCGTAGTGGTGGGAGCAAGTTCGCCACGGACGACAATAAAACATGCGACTTCCGGTGACGACCTGGGACGAGTTGAGGGGGCTGATGCGGGAGTGCTTTGGGCCAGCTTATTATTGTCGTGAATTGCACGAGGCCTTGCAGTCAATTCATCAAGGATCGAGGTCGGTGGATGATTACTACAAAGAACTTGAAATGCTCTTGCTTCGAGCTGACATTCGAGAAGATACAGAGGCTACGATATTGAGGTTCTTGCCCGGCCTCAATAGGGAAATCCGACAAGAGGTGGAGATGCGTCAATTCATTGACTTGGAGGAAGTCGTTCACCTTGCAATCAAGGTCGAGAAGCAGCTGAAAGTGGGAACGGGACGGCGATTTGCTCCAGTAGTTCCTCGTCCAATCTCGACCCTGGAATCTGCTCCAATCGAAGCTCTTGCTTCAAATTGACCAACGACGTCGAAGCCAGCCGTCCAAATTGGTAATCAAGAACGGTCTGGAGGAGGGATAAGCAAGTTGGAATGCTACAAGGCCTGAATCAGTAATAGTTGGCAAGGGAACAATAAACACTATGTTTGGGAAGAGGTGCAAATGAAAGGGGGTGCCAAATTGGGGGTAAACACAAGTTTCCAGGTGTTTACCTCTGCTTGGTTATTTTGTAACAGTAGGAGGTGAAAAACGTGAGTGCAACTTCACTACTTTGACTTACCCCCGAATTGGGGTGGAAGAGAAGGAAGGAAGGAGGGAGAGAGTAAATTATCGATAACAAGTTTGTCAATGTTCATCTAGTGAGATCGATATATCTTGGTTGACTCGAATTTCCATTAAAAATTAGAGATAAGAAGCATTTCTGGAAAAGATAGACATGAACGGTTTAGTTGATTCAGTTTACTTGACTAAATAGTTAAAACTTACAGATTTGAACGTGTTTGACTAAGTTTGACCACATTCAATTTCAAGTTAGGCACGAGAACCCCCTTAGGATGACCAGTTACGAGTTGGGTTTCGAGGTCGTTCGGCCAATGATTATTAGTGTTGTTATAATTAATTATTATTTGGGCATTATTACATAATAATTAATTTTATTATAATATAATTATTAATATTTATTATTATTATTATATATTGATGTTTATTTATACTATTTTGTGATAATATTTTATAAATTTGATAAATATATTTTATAATAATATAATTACTTATTTTTCACTCTATTTGCACTCCCTACTTTTTCATCCAAACAACAATTTACCCCTCCACTTACACCCCCACCTATTAGAGTATATGTAGTACGAGTCGTATTATGTTATACTACGAATACTGTTATGTAATTGGGCAGAGTTATATTCCTTATCAGAGTCGTATTAGTGTTCGGGTTATTATAGAAGTCAGTCTCTGACTCTCTGTACTCTATATAAACCCTATGTGATTTCAGTAATAATACACAACAGTTTGCACCGTATTCTGATTTTCCAACACCACCAAGTTGCACCCCCAACAATTTACCCCTCAAATAGCACCCTCTCGATCAAGTTGAGTTAGAACCCTAATCAAGTTTATATCAATTCTTTCTCATTTCTTCTGTTTCATGTCGTTCTCATTCTTTAGTTTGACAAATCACGTTAAACAGACGACATCCGTGTAACATATAGAAATTCCATGTGGTATTTTTTTCTTCATCCCAAAAGTACTCGATCAAATCTTATCCGTCAATTTAGAAAATAAAAAAAAAGAGATGAAATCAAATGAAAGGAATTGTCATGTTGAATGGTTTGCACGGTAAATCATTCAGGGGTCGTTTGGATGGATCAATTGTAAAACGAGACAATTTGATCAATTGTTTCATTTTACAAAACGAGTCATTTAAAATGAGTCAATTCAGATTACCTGCCCCACCCCAGACAATTGTAATCGGCTCAAAATGAGGCAATTCAGAATTCCCCAGCCCAAATTGCTTCATCCAAATTTCCTGCTGCCAAACGGATCAATCTAGCACAATTGACTCAAAACGAGACAATTGTGCAAGATTGATACATTAGAATTCCTCATCCAAACCACCCCTCAAACTTTAGTTTCTTGTATGTACTTAGTAATTAATTATACCTTCAATGAGAGACTGTTCAACTCAAATACGAGACGTATCGTGTCTGTTGTCTAACATACATCGAGATTCCACAAAGATGAAGAACCCCTATAATTCTGGATTCGACTAATTGGTACCCAAATTATTTATGCCGAGCCAAATTGATCACAGCTCGCCGGCAATAGCTTCGCAGCCTCTTCGAAGAGCAGTATCTAAACTTGACAGTTGACATAAATTAGACATTCCCCTGTCCAACACTAATCCCGAGAGCAAGAAAATAGAATTAATCCTCTCGTCGTTAATATCAACAAATAGTATTCTTCATCAAGAGAGCAATAGCATCGTCTGCAGGCTAGCCATGCACCTAGGGCCAGCTTCAATATTATTATTTTTATATTTTGGAGAAATATTCAATATTATATGACTAGTCCTATAAATACCCACCTAATTAACTCAACACTCACCATTCTCAATCAACAGATTCATTATAATCTTTGAGATCCAATATTCATCTCGATCTTCCATATATAGTTTGTTGTCAAATGGCAGGCGGCTCCAAAATTGCATTCTTCATGGTTGCATTCCTGGCGCTGGCTTGTGAGTTTCATTTTCTAATAAACGTCTTTCTCTCAGTTGTTGATGGGGTTTGCATAATATTCATTGGTATATGAAGTATCGTACAAGATCCTTACACTACAAGAAAAACTAATGATAACCACGGTTACCTACTGACACTCGCCCATGACCGTCGGTATCTATAAATTGTTGACGGGCAAAGTGGACGGAATATTTGACCGTCGGTATCTAATTGATGTTGAGATGCAGCAAAGCTATATAATTAACACAGGCCACAATTTATTTCGTTTTCCCTTTTTCTTTTACTTAAAAAGTTAAATACAAAAGATAAAATAAAGCATTTTTTTTCCATTGATTTAATATTAGTCTCAAAGAGATCGTGACTCGTGAGTCGTGAGACAGAGGATACAAGTCCAGAGAGAAAGAGAGAGGAGAGAGAAAGAGGGCGAGAGGGTTGTGGCCAGGGGAGATCCAACCACACAATCGAGAGAGAGAGAGAGAGAGAGAGAGAGAGAGAGAGAGCACGCAGTGAAGCTGAAATTTTGTTTCCTCCATTGCCGCGTAGCTTCCTCATCGATTGAAAACCCTAAATTGACCAGCTTCTGTGCCAATGTCAACGGAGCATCTCGCAACCGTTCGGATTTGTCAGCAGGAGAAGTGAATTTCTCATGTGTCTTGTAGAATTTCGACGCGCTATAGATGGGATGGACGATGGCGCACTCAGAATTGCTCTGTCACCGCCTATCATCTTCACTCTCAGTCATGGGTGATCTGAGCCACATCCACTATCCTGTAAGATCTGAATCGAGGTAAGAGTTCTGGTGGTGAGATGTTCGATTGAGTTAGTACTGGTGGTGAGATGTTCAATTGGGGGTTTTTCTCAAACCCTAAGTTTTCTATTCTCAACCGAGTCTCCTCTGTTGCTTCATCCCTTAACCGATTCGTACGCGTTTGTTTGGGTGCTTGACTAATGCATGTTGAGTCTATTTGGTGATTGTTTTGGTAGTTGAGAAGTTAATTGATCCTAAAACTCAAAATACAACATTACTCTGCAAGTCGTGTGATTGAAATTCTGGAATCGGCCCTGTTTTTGACTTCTTACACACCCTGTCATTCATGCAGTACAACCTTTAGGCCATCAGGGAAGAAATTAGAAGAGAAGAGTATGTCTCAATGATGCTTTTGAATCAAAAGTTTTGATGATTCATTTTATCATCAATGATGTCAGTTGAATTCTTGCTCCAAATAGTTGTCCTGGATATGCATGAACTAAACTATCATTCTTAATTTGGTGGTAATCATTGCTACTTTTAAATTCAGTTGTGTATAACTAATTAGCATATGTCTTTCTCCTCGTTCTAGCTAGCGCTCTAATAGCTGTGTCTTTTTCTTGGCAGGGACTACAAGCATGTCAATGATAAACACTTAATTACCCAATTGGAAAGGTAGGTAATGAGGCAAAAATGATAGAACTATGTCTGGTAGCTAAAAGAAATGTGTCAATTTAGAGAACATTTACTAACATTTTGGTGAATCTGAATCTTTCCTAAGGTTCTGTTGAGGGTAAAAATCATCATGCAGTGTTTTGTTAGCTTCCTGTTAAGGCTGTAAATGAAATTTATTTCAAAGGAAACTCGTGTTTGTAATTTGCAACTGGTAGTCAAGTATTGGGTTTCCTAACTCACATCTATTTTCCAAGTTTTCACCTTATTTTCTGTACCAATGAATGATTGGTAATAAAATTTCCTAGTTCTCCTAATCGTTTCATTCCCATGATGCTCTTGTTCTTTTGCAGGTGAAATATGAGAGAGTTCTTGAGCTTCTGACAACAATATAAATGTTCAGTGTAGTGTTAAGGTGTGCTCATGCTATTGAATTTCTTCCTTCCTTCCTTCCTTCCTTCAAAATAGCAGTTTATTGAGCCTCTATGTCTTCTGTGTTCTGGTAAGCCTATTGAGAAGGAAACTGAATATTTGTGGGCTTTATCATGGATGGTAGATCAAAATACGGTGGTGAGGTTTCTTAAAGCTATTTTGCACTACAAATTATTACTTTACTCTATTGTTCATATTTCATGGCTTTGTGCAATTGTGCTAGCTACTACTTTTCTGTTTGAATGCTAATAAGCTGTTACAGTAGTAGGTTATGTGATGAATCCTATATGCTTCCTCTCTGCTTCGTCTACTCATGTTGCTTGCTTCTACTCTCTTTTCCTACAGGTTTCTTTCTCCTTCAATTTCATAATTTTATTTTTATTTTGGTTGGCCGCAGTTTTTGAATCTTTGCAAGCAGGTCAGATGTATAACTTTCTTCTGCAGGGAAGAGAGTTGTGAAGCCGTCAAAGATGACGTCAAAGGGCCTGCCTGCCGGAATGTTAATTGCTGTCTGGGGGTGGTTGAGAAAGATGGAGTTACTTTTGCAAGTGGAATTGTTCAGGAGAATGATCTAGTTTCTTTATTCTGCCTTAGACATCTGATTACTGTGCTGCCTTAACTTTTCTGGAAACAGATCGAGCTTTCCCCACAGACTGATATTCTTAAGACTGGTAAATTGAAGGAGCTTGTCTCTTATGATCCTGACTGGTATTATATAAGAGCTGGTAAGTACTATCATCTTCTATGCAAATGACCGACACATATGTAATTGCATTCTATGATCATTCAATCATTTATCGTTGTAATTCGATAATGATTATGACAGCAGCCTCTTTGCCTTGATTTCTCAGCCGTTACTTGTTCTGATGTCTTCTCTTTGCTTTTAAGTATAGAGAAGGACATTCCACCCCAAAAAAAAAGTATGAACAAGGACATTAGGTGATATGGGTAAGGCTGGTGTTCACTATGTGTCAGTGTTGACTTGATAAACCAGAAATGAATTGGGAGAACACTCTGTCTCTTTATTTTATGAAATTGGTGTTTTTTTACATGTGGCAATGGTTTTGTTCATGTCCTGGTACTTCTTTTCAGAACGACTACAAACTCTGAAGGTGTGAATTACGCGAAGTAAATCTTGAATTAATTTGTGGCTCAGCACTTAGACATAGAACTTTCAATTTATGTTTTCTAGAACCCTTTAGTAGCTTGCCAAGACCTGTTTATTGCATGCCATAATAAACACAGCCCGTGATTCAGTAGCGTACTAATGCATGAAATTCTCGAGACAGATCACGTGGATGAGAGTGACGACGAAGGTGCAGTGTATAAGTATTATACTGCTAAAGCATCAACGAAAAAGGAGAGAACAGCTCGAGCGGGAAGGTCAAGATGGAAATCAAATCTATAGGCTACATTAGAGTTTGAGAAATGAAAAGTAGTGTTTTCAGTTGATGACTAAGGAATGATGGAGAAGGAAGGTCAAGATAGAAATTAAATATGTTGTCCAATTTTGTCAGAGTTCATAAAGGCAGCAGAACTTTTATAGTCTCTAGACTCCTGATCTTGGGGATTCTCTTCTTATTGATTGAGTATTTGTTGGTTTCTATTTCGCAGAAGCAAAAGTGTGTTCGTCGGGAAGATCTTGCTGCAGAATTCAAGATGTGAACTTAGGTATGTTCCTCCCCTTATACTCTTATAAGAATACTCTAAATTCTTTTTCTCAACTGCGTAACGCCCTATTCATACTAAAGTCATCTAACACCCCATCAATAAGCTGGATTCATATTTTGAGGGACCAGTCTTATCTGGTGGGTTGTATGTGTTTACTCTTATACTAGATGTCCTTAGGAAAAGATGTCAGTATATCATTCCTCTGAAAATTTCTATCGCTATTTTGTAAATGCAGGAGTTTATCAATTGAATCACCACCTTGGAAAGCATGGGTAAGAGATATATGATGGCCATGTATAATTTACTAGGTCTAGTTTATTACATTTACTTAAATTTCCCTAAGCTTGCAAGTGTTAAGTAATCAACATGACTTTTTTCTTTCTTGCAGCGAGGTGGTTCAAAGTTTGATAGATATATATGATGGCCATGTACTAATTCACTGTTCAAGGTACTGCTACCAGAACCTGTCACCCATTTCTATAGCTTCATCGTCTCCAATTCAAGCTGCCATGCACAATTTGTAGTGTTGATCGCCAGAGCTATCCATGGTGAATTTGTGATTTTTGGGGTTCAATCTATTTTGGCTTTTGTTTCTCTATTTAATTTCAAAGAGGTACTGCCTTGGTGGAAGTCTGAAGCTATCATTATTTGAATTTACATGTAGATTTATATCTAGATCTATGTTTTTAAATGTATGATAATTTGCTCTGTTGCCTTCATGATAAGATCAATCAAGGTGATTACCCTTGCTAACATGGATGTGAAACCCTAAGATGATCTAATTCTATGAGCATTCCCAAGGGAGATAAACAGCTTCGTATTCTATTTATTGGTGAGCTTGATCTACTAGTGACAATAAACTAGTCAGTACTTGATATGTTCGTACAGTCACTGTTTAGTTGAAAGTTGTTATGTATAGGCTTAGTCAATTCCCATCACAGCCCCATAGTTAGTACTTGATATTTTCTTTTGGATGAATATGATCTTGTGCTGGGTTTTGCTGATTTTATTTGAAAATTGGGTTTAAAATTGCAGGAGAAACCACCATACCTACATCTAGTACAGAGAAAGGAAGGCTTACAACAATGGAATAGGTTGATATCTTGTATGTTCTGGATTCCCTTATCATTTTGATTTTTTTTTTCAAGTTTGTTCTTGTTTCTCTTGATTATGACTTGACTGTTCGAACGTAGATGTTTATGCAAACTGAATTGCATTCATCTTCTAATGAATGTTATCCTACAAAAACAGCTCTTAGTTCATTGAGTAAGAGATCACAATTTGCAGATTCTTGAGGCCCCTTCATTATTTATCTAAAAAAAAGTACTCCATGGTACTCTGCTTTTCAAGTGAGTTCTCTACTTATCTTCTATATTTCCTTTTTATGCTTTTTTTGTTCAAGTGTTTGCCTGAGTTTAATTCATACTCGTTGCTTTGCAGAAATCTCACCTGAATAAATGAGAGAGGACCATGTAGCATAATTTTTCAATTTCATCTTCCTCACTTCAGTGCACCGACTGTAATCAGGTAAACATGTTTAAATTTCTTATTATGATTCAAGTTGAAACAATCTAATAGTAAGGTTTGTTCTGAGTGGTAGGATGTTGTGTAGTTACTCTACTATTTCATGACAAATTGTCTCTTTTTTTTTGGCATGGCATGGACAAGCAGGCTACTGTTCGTGTTTCATAAATGGGAAGGAGAGAATCCAGAAGGTTATAGGATATTTGAAGAAGGGAAAAAAATATGGGATCATTTAACACTGTTTTGAACAATCGAGGTGTAGGAGTGCTTTCTAAAAAGCTGTTTATCTTTTCATGTTTGAATGCAGGTACTTTCAAGCAAAGAAGACATTGGCGTATTTCAAAACAAGCAGAAAATGACGGTCTCCGTGGTAGTTCATTCATGATTCATCTTCATAAATATCTCTAATAACTTCCAGTTTTGATGGTTGATTACTTAGGTAATTAAGTGATCTGAATGGGGTGTTACAACTGTTCATGCAGGGCTTCCAATAAAAAAATAAGTTGATCTACTAGTTTGCACAGTGCTGGATTTGGTGGTACAAGGAGCTGAGGGGGACTGTAAGTGGGAGTTATGGTGGCTATAACGTAGGACTGTAAGCAACTTCTTTAGGTATAGTTTTAAAATTTTGGTAGAATGTCGAACATGGAACTTGGTTTTTGAATTGAAGGAATGTTCCCTGATGGTTTATATTGTTGATTGGGGGTTTAAGGTGTTGATTTGGTAATTCAAAGTCAGAATGGTTTTCTTAGTTAAATTTGCTAAATGTTGGTATTGGAGAAAATTTCAACAGATTTGAGGTGTGTATAAGAGCAGGTGATTCAAAAAAAAAAAAAAAGAATAGCTCATTTTGCTGCGGTCAGTTACCATTAGCGACGGTCGAAACCGTTGTTATGTAATTTAATTTTTTTTTCGCACTATTTATTTAAGGACGGTTTTTTTATATTTAACGATGGTTATCAGCGTCGCTAATGTTTGTCGACGGTCAGCGCGACGGTCGACCAAAAGCGTCGCGAAAAAATTTAAGGACTGCTGTGTCTGTGACGGTCGGGTGGGCGTCATTAAATTATTTAGCGACGGGTTTGACTGTCGCTAACTGTGCAGAAAACCGTCGCTAAATCACTGTTTTGTTGTAGTGTTATTCGTGATTTCGAAACGCGTGATATATGTACAACAATCTACGAAATAAAAGATATGCACAAATTTCAAGTTTAGTGAGTCTATATTTGTCAGAAGAACTGATTTTGAATTTCCACTGATAACTTCAAGTTTAATAGGATAATAATATTTAGTTTTGATGATAATAATTGATTTATTTATATACTTGTGCATTATTTATGTATAGGTATCTCATGTTCATCCATGGAAGATGTCAAGAAAGCGGTGGCATCACCGGCGGATCCTAAAGCCAACTTGGCCGCCGCCGGCGCAAATTATTTTCAGGCGACGGACGACGACAGCTGCCATGGCGATGACGACTGCCTCAAGAAACAAATATGCGTCGGCGAATATTGCTTCAAGGGCGAATGCACGTGTCCTTAACCTTGCTAATCTATTAACAAGGGAAAAAAGACAGAGTTCACTACTGTCTTACGTGGGAGTAAAGTAAAGAATTTGAATGAAGTGTTGCATTTCTGTTGGGTCGTGTGATCATTTATAGTTTCTGTTTTGGTTTTTACAATAAATTATGGCATTATGTAACGCCTCCGGTGTATGTTTTTTAAATATATTTTCTTCGTTCAAATAAAAAAAAATCATGGTATTATGTAACATGAGTTCATTGGACATGGTGACACGTAACTTTGGATTTCAAACTTCCGAGTTGGGTTCATGCACTTTCCGATCAAGATAATGTTTGTTTTTGTCTAGAATGACACGGTTTTTTTCTTAGCGTACATGTCAAGGTGACTAATTTTCAGGAGGTCATCCATTTTTGCATTGCTCCACAGTGAGCACGTTTGATTTGGAGTTCTTATAATAACTCTTCCATTTTACGCTAAATTCCGCCTTGTCGGTTGAGTTCGATTTTCTTACTTGTGAATGATGGATCAACTAGCATCAGTGTATCCTTCCAAAATAGATGAAAAGTCACTACAAGTCAGTGCATGATGCATTATGGCTATGAGACGCATAATGCATTGTGTCTTTGAGCATCATTCCATGCCTTATGACGAGCTCTAGGACTACTCATTGACTCGCTCGAAACTACACCGCGAATTAATCGCGACTAGAGCCCAAGTTTTTAAACTCTAGCCGAGTGCAGTATATTTAAATTATCAACCCGGGCCGATTCATGTACCACTTCTTCAATCGCTTAGGTTGTTATCTAGCAAGCATCTTTTGAGTTTAGAACTAATGGAACCGCAAACTAAATAAACAAAGGAAAGTAAATAAAGGAAAACTCTAACTAAGGGAGCTTCACCC